GGGGGGGGGGGTCTGTGGGGTGCTGGGGTCGGGACAGCCCCCCCAGGTGTGAGCGCGCCCACCCCTCACGTGCGTGAGCGCGTCCCGGCTCGGGGAGCGCGCCCGGGCCGGTCCCGGTGCCCGGGGATCCCCGTCTGGCTCCGGGGGCACGGGGGGGGGCACGGCCGTGGGTGGGGGGCACTGGGACACCCCACGGGGCTGGGCTGGGGTCCTCTGGGACACGGGACGAGGGTTAAAATGGGGAAGAAATATTTTTTAAGAAGGGAAACAAGAAGGACGGGATTAAGAAAGCTCGAGTTGTTTGGAACTCAGGAGGGGTGTCCTGAGCAAAGGGTGTCCCCAGGACAGGGGGGCACAGGGGGGCTCTGTGGCACTGGGGGGTGCCCTGAGGCCGGACCCCCCCCCACCCCCCCGCGGGTGTTCGGGACAAAGGCCGTGGGAACGGGGTGGGGGGGGCCGGGGGTGCCCGGGGGTGTCGTGAGTGCAGGACACGTGTCCGTGGGCTCGGGTACGTGTGTCCCTGCAGGTAGCGGCTGCTCCCGTGCTCCGGCTGCTTCCTCCTCCTCCTCCTCCTCCTCCTCCTCCTCCTGCTCCTCCTCCTCCTCCGGAAGCCGCGGGCACCGCGCTGGCTCCGGAGGTGCCACCCCCTGACCGTGTCCCCTGTCTCCCCCAGGGCCCCCCCGGCGCGGAGCCCCCCGGAGCGGATCCCTGCTGTCCCCGGAGCCCCCCCAGCCCCGCAGCCCTTCGGGACCCTGCGACACCGAGCCCTGGTCGCCCGGCACGGCTCTTGGGTCGCCCCCAGGCACCGCCCGCTCGCTCCTCGCCCTCCTCCTTGGCACGTCCGGCGCCTGATCCTGCGGCACGACCCCCGGCACGACCCTCGGCACGACCCCCGCCCCCCCCGGGGCCGCCGCCACGCCGGGGCTCACCTGGTGCGGGTGGGCTGCGTGCTGGGCACCTGCCAGGTGCAGAACCTGAGCCACCGCCTGTGGCAGCTGCGGGGACAGTCGGGGCGCCGCGACTCGTCCCCCATGAACCCCAACAGCCCCCACAGCTACGGCTGAGGGGGGGGCGCGGCCCCGCCCCGCGGGACCCTCTGAAGCTCTTCCACGGGCGCTCGTGGCCGGGCTACCCCGCGCTGCCCGCTGGCCACCGCCACCCCGGGGGGCTCCCGTGGCCACAACCCCGCGATGGAGCGCGGAGCACCGGGGGCTGCGAGCCGGTGGCCAGCGGTGGCCCGCGATGTCCCACAGGAGCTGGCGGTGGCACCGCGGGGACTGGTGGTGGCCTACGGCGACTCACGGCGACCGGCGATGGCCCACAGTGACTCTTGGTGGCTCAGAGTGGCCCCTGGTGGCGGCCCGTGGTGACCCGGGCTGGCCCGTGGTGGCCGGCAGTGGCCAGTCTGTCCGGGCCGGGTCCAAGGGCCACCGGGAATCCCGCTGACCGCAGCAGCACCGCCACTTGTGCAAGACCCTGCTGACTCAGCATCCCCCGGAGCCCCCCGGGGCACCCCCGGCACCCCAGGGTGACACTGGGTGACACTGGGGCTGTGGGGGTGCAAGGACAGAGCACAGAGACCCCGAGGGGGGAGGGCGGGGCAGCCCCCAGCACCTCGGGGGTCCCTCTTGGGGGTCCCGGTTGGGGTTGGCACCTTCCCGGGTGCTGAGGGGGGTCCTGTCCTCCTCAGCATGAACATTGTCCCCTCCCCTGGCGCCTTGTCCTGTGTCCCCAGGCTGTGTCACCCATAAATGTGTCCCCAAATGTGGGGGGCAGGGGAAAGGTTGGGGTCCTGTCCAACCATGTCCCCACTCCTGGCCCTGTCCTGTCCGACCCTGTCCCCTGCTGCACCCTCGGGGACCCCCCCACGTCCTGTCCCCGCACGGGGTGGTGGCCCATGGGCACAGGGGGACACATGTGACATCCCTGCCACCCCGGAGTGCCGCTGCCACCCCATGGCGCGGTGGGACGGGGATGGGTGACCCCAGGTCCTGTCCCACCTCTCCCACCCCGGGAGAAGCTTGAGCAGCCCCCCAGGAGCAGCAACCGCCATTCCCAGGACACCCCCATTCCCGCAGGAGTACCCCAAACATTTCAGAGCACCCCATTCCCGGGAACAAACACCCCCATTCCCATAGGAACACCCCCATTCCCGGGAGCACCCCAGCCCCACAATTCCCCAGAGCACCCGGGTGTCCCGCGATGTCCCCTGGGTGCCACATGGACGGAGCTGTCCCTCGGGTGCCCATCCTCTGGGAGCTTTGGGGACAGGATATCCCAGGAGTGTCTCAAGGTGTCCCGGGAAGTTCTGGGATGGGATCCCCATGGGTGTCTCAGGACTTCCCAGCCCCCCTGGAGCTGCCGAGGGCAGCGGGGGGTCCCCAGGCCTTTGTCCCCTCCCCTGGTGTCCCCATGAGCCGGACCCACCCTGCCCCAGGTCACGGAGCGTCGCTGCTTCCCGGGAATCTCGGTTTGTGTGGAATAAACAAAGAGTGTGAGGAGGGGCCGGGATGGAGCGTGGTGTCCTGTGGGGAGGGGACAGGGATGGGACAGGGATGGGACAGGGATGGGACAGGGGGTGGCCGAGTCCAGGGACAGACACCGGGTCCCTCGGGGGCGGGAGGTGACAGGCGGGCATGTGGGGACAGTGGGGACACACCCACGTGTGTGACGCCCGTGCCAGCCGTGGCCGTGCCCTGTCCTGGCCGTGCCCGCACATGGCCGTGCCCACCCGTGCCAGCCGTGGCCGTGCCCTGTCACACCCGTGCCCATCGCGGTGTCCCCGCCCGGGGCAGCGCCAGCAGTGCCAGCCCGGTGTCCCCCATGGTGCCCCGTGTCCCCAGGGCCGGTTCCGCTCCCCGTGTCCCTGCGGGGTCACTCCGCACCCGGGGGGGTCACCGGGGCTCGGGTGCCCATCCCGGGGGTCCCCCCAGCCCCCTCCGGGAGCCGCAGCCCCCCAGGCGGGCGCGGGGTCAAACATTAACCGGGCCGGGTTAACTGGTCACCGATTGTCCCCTCGGGGCCGGGCGGGCCCCCCGCGCCACCCCCGCCATAAAACCGGGGGGTCCCGCGTCCCCGGAGCCCCACAGCCACCATGAGCGGCCTCCAGGCGGTGAGTGCGGCCAGGGGGGCTCGGGCACTCACCTGGGGGGGCACAGCCACACCCCAAAGCCGGGGGGCAGGGGACACCCCTCGGCCATGTCCTCCCTGCTGGGGGTGCCACCCCACGGGGGACCCCACCCCGAAGGGTCCCAGCCTAGGGGACATCCCTGCAGGCGGGGGGGGTGTCCCGAGGCCATGGGGAGCCGCTCCCCACCCTGGGCGGGATTGGGGGGTCAGGCCCAGCCCGGGGGGGGGTCCCACCGCACCCGTGGGGCAGAGCAGGGACCCTCACACTGTCCCCGACAGGGACCCCCGGACTGCTGTCCCCACCCGGGGACAACGTGGGCTGGAACCCCCAGGGATCGGGGACAGCACCCCCAGGTCCGTCTGTGCCCCGGGGGGGACACGGGACAGTGTGTGGTGATCTGTGACACCGTGTGACATTGTGTGATTGATTGTGTGTGACACCGTGTGACACCGTGTGACATTGTGTGATTGATAGTCTGTGATTGTGTGTGACAAGGTGTGACATTGTGTCATTGCGTGTGACACCGTCTGACAAGGTGTGACCCCTCGCATTGGTGTGTGACACTGCCACCCCCTGCCACGGTGTGATCCCACGCCACCAGGTCCCTCCTTGGTGCCAGTGTCCCCCTGTCCCCAACCTCCCGTCCCTGTCCCGTGTCCCCTGTCCCTGTCCCCACCCGGGTCCCCCTGAGTCCCCGTCCCCCCGCAGGGCCCCGACTCCTCCGAGGAGCCCAAACCCGGCAAGGCCAGGACCGAGCTCCGCAACTACACCGTGAGTGGGGGGGGGTCCCGGGGGCCCCAAAACCGGGCGGGTTTGGGGGGGTTCGGCTGCACGGGGTGGGCGCTGGGGGTCTCGGGGGTCCCGCCCTGCTGCCGGGAGCTGCCCCGGGGGTCTCCGGCACCCCGAGGTGGGCGGGGGGACACGGGGGGATCCCCCCGGAGCCCCCCAGCCCCCGGTGCTGCCCCGCAGGAGGGGAAGCTGATCGACCGCGTGTACAACACCTACCTGCTCATGCACACCCACCAGACCGTGGAGTTCGTCCGCAGGAAGGTGGGGACCGGCCCTGTGTCCCCCTGTGTCCCCCTGTGTCCCCCTGGGCCACCACAGCGGGGAGGGGGGGGTGTGTCCCAGCCCTCCCACCCCGCACCCCAAACCCAGCCCCGCTGCCCCATCCCAGCCCGTTTGGGGGCACGGGGAGAGTGTCGGGGTGGGGATGGCGTGTCCCCACCGTGTCCCCATCGTGTCCCCAGAGCGCGCAGTACGGCTCGTGCTCGCTGCGGAGGATGAGCGTGATGGAGGCGCTGGAGCTGCTGGACCAGCTCGTGGACGAGTCGGACCCCGACGTGGATTTCCCCAACTCCTTCCACGCCTTCCAGACGGCCGAGGGGATCCGCCGGGCGCACCCCGACAAAGGTAGGGCCACCCCCCGCCCCTGGCCCGCTTGTCCCCGCCGAGGTCGCCAGCCCCGCGGGTGACACGGCCCCGCTCCCCCCAGACTGGTTCCACCTCGTGGGGCTCCTGCACGACCTGGGCAAGGTGCTGGTGCTGTTCGGGGAGCCCCAGGTGAGCGGGGCGGTGGGGAGGGGGCTCGGGGGGGTTCCCCCGCAGGCAGGGGGTCCCTCGGGGGGTGCTGTGACCCCTCCACCCCCCGGCAGTGGGCCGTGGTCGGGGACACCTTCCCGGTGGGCTGCAAGGTGCAGAAGTCGGTGGTTTACGGGGACTCCACCTTCCACGATAACCCCGACACCAAAGACCCCCGGTACAGGTGAGCGGGACCCCCGGGGGGGTTTGGGGGGGCAGGGGAGGGGGTCCAGCCCCTCACCCCCCCCCCCATCCCATCCCCAGCACCGAGTACGGGATGTACCAACCTGGCTGTGGCCTGGACAACGTCCTCATGTCCTGGGGCCACGATGGTGAGTTTGGGGGGGCTGGGGGGGTCCCCACCCCCAAACCGGGCCCTGGTGCCCCCCGGGGGGGCTGCACTGACCCAACCCCCCCCACTGCCCCCTTTGCAAGGACAGGGGCTGCTCTTTTGGGGGGCTGCAGCTCCGGGGGGATTCTGGGGGGGTCTGCACCTCTCGGCCCCCCCCACCCCGGTGGGGGTCCAGCCCCTCCCACGCCCCCTCCCCCATTTTCAGAGTACATGTACCAAGTGATGAAGTTCAACAACTTCGCCCTGCCCAAGGAGGTGAGCTCAGCCTGGGGGGGGCTCAGGGACCCCCGGGAGGTTTTGGGGTGCGGGGGGAGCACCCTAAATCCGTGTCCCCCCCCCACCCCAGGCCTTCTACATGGTTCGCTTCCACTCCTTCTACCCCTGGCACGCCCACGGCGATTATGGCCACTTGTGCTCCGAGGAGGACCAGCGCATGCTGCCCTGGGTGCGAGAGCTCAAGTGCGTGCCCGGGGGGGTTTGGGGGCTCGGCCGGGTCCCCCCACGGGTTTGGGGGGGCCAAACCCCCTCCCTGACCCCCCCGTTTGTCCCCGCAGCAAGTTCGACCTGTACACCAAGCAGGAGGAGCTGCCCGACGTGCAGCAGCTCCGCGCTTACTACCAGGGGCTCATCGACAAATACTGCCCGGGGCAGCTCTGCTGGTGACCCCAAAACCCTGCTGGTGACCCCAAAACCCTGCCGGTGACCCCTCAAAACCCTGCCGGTGACCCCCAAAACCCTGCCGGTGACCCCTCAAAACCCTGCCGGTGACCCCAAAACCCTGCCGGTGACCCCAAAACCCTACCGGGCTCCCCACAGCACCCCCAGACCCCACCCTGGGGCTCCACAATAAATCTGCTTCTGCTGCACCCCCCGTGCCAGTCCCCCCCAAAATGGGGGTCACCCTCCCCAGGACCCCCCAAATCCCAGGAGAGCTGCGGGGCTGGAATGTCAAAGGCTTTAATTAGAAAATTATAGGAAACCTCTGGGTTTGGGCTGAGCTGGGGCGGGACGGGCAGAGCCCGGGGGGAGGCGGGGGGTGCGGGGGGAGCACCCCAAAGTGCCGGGGGGACACCCCAAAGTGACCTGAAGGGCTGGGCAGGGTAACCAGAGGGGCTGGCACTGCCCGAACTGCTCCAGCCCGTGGGCACAGAGCCCCCACCTGCCCTGAGCCCCTGACCTGTGCTGAGCCCCCTCCCCAGCAATGTGGGGCCTGGTGGGGTCCCCAGGGGGTCCTGGGGCAGGGGGACAGGGTCCCCAGGCAGCGGGGAGGGGTCCCCTGACATCGGGGCCGGGTCCCCAAGGAGTTCCTGGGCAGTGGGGCAGGGTCCTCAGAGAGTCCCCAAACACCGGGGAGGGGTCCCCAAGGTGTCCCCAGGCAGTGGGAAAGCGTCCTCAGGAGTCCCCAAATACTGGCGAGGTGTCCCCAAGGTGTCCCCACCCCGTGCTGAAGGCACTGGCCCATGGGCTCCAACAAGCGCTGCCCCCCCACCCGGGGACTCGCCCCCTCCCCTCGTGGTTTTTTTTTTTTTTTTTTGGGGGGGGGGGTGTGGATTTTGGGGGCTACTTCTTCCTCTTGTTGCCGTGCCGGCCCTCGGGCCGCGCCCCCTCCGTGCCCCTCACCCCGTTCCTCTCGCCCCTGTCCCGGGGCCCTTTGTGGCGAGCTGGGGGCGCCCCCCCCCGCGCCCGCCGGGCCAGGGCTCGCAGCAGCCCCGCGGTGGCGGCCACCAGGTAGAGGGACCAGAGCAGGGTGGGGCCCGAGAAGGGCCGGCACAGGCGGCGCACGGAGCCCAGGAACCGCGGCAGGAGGGAGTCAGCCCGGCGGCGAGGGGGGGGCTTGTCCTGGGGGG